GGACACCTTCTCCCGGGTTGGAAAACTATGGGAGCGCCGGGACAGCTTCTCCTGGGCTGGAAAACCGTGGGAGTGCTGGGACACCTTCTCCCGGATTGGAAAACATTGGGAACGCCAGGACACCTTCTCCCGGGTTGGAAAATTGTGGGAGTACTGGGACACCTTGTCCCGGGTCAGAAAATTGTGGGACACCTTCTCCTGGGTTGGAAAACTACGGGAACACCGGGACACCTTCTCCCAGGCTGGAAAAGTGTGGGAGCACCGGGACACCTTCTCCCGGGTTGGAAAACATGGGGAGTACCAGGACACCTTCTCCTGGGCTGGAAAATTGTGGAAGCACTGGGACACCTTCTCCCGGGTTGGAAAACATTGGGAACGCCAGGACACCTTCTCCTGGGTTGGAAAACCACGGGAATGCCGGGACACCTTCTCCCAGGTTGGAAAACCGTGGGAACGGCGGGCCGGGACCCACCTGGACGTCGGCGGTGGCCATGAGGACAGCGAAGCTGGAGAGGTGGCGGCAGCCGCACGTGGTGGAGCGCCGGTCGCCCGCCAGGCGCTCGCAGCCCCGCTGCGACCAGCGGGCGCTCGCCGGCTGCCAGGCCACGCAGCGGGCATCCTCATCCTCGCGGGGCTCCTGGGGGGACACGGGGGGAGCGGGGCCACCGCGTCGGGGGCGCATTGTGGGGAAGGGTGCGCGTGGATGCGTGCATGGGGCCATGGATGCATCCGGGCTTCCCGTGGCGTTTGCAAGTGGGAATGGTGCTCCAGGTGCTCCATGCATGGAGAGATGGATGCATCCGGGCTTCCCGTGGCGTTTGCAAGTGGGAATGGTGCTCCAGATGCTCCATGCATGGAGCAATGCATGCATCCAGGCTTCCCGTGGCGTTTGCAAGTGGGAATGGTGCTCCAGATGCTCCATGCATGGAGCAATGCATGCATCCAGGCTTCCCGTGGCGTTTGCAAGTGGGAATGGTGCTCCAGGTGCTCCGTGCATGGAGCGACAGATGCATCCGCGTTTCCCATTGCATTTGCAAATGGAAATCGCACTCCAGGTGCCCAAACTACGGGGACGAGTAACTCCACGCATGGAGTGACGGATGCATCCGTGTTTCCCGTTGCATTTGCAAGTGGGAATGGCACTCCAGGTGCTCCATGCATGGAGAGATGGATGCATCCGCTTCTCCTGTTGCATTTGCAAGTGGGAATGGTGCTCCAGATGCTCCATGCATGGAGCAATGGATGCATCCGGGCTTCCCGTGGCGTTTGCAAGTGGGAATGGTGCTCCAGATGCTCCATGCATGGAGCAATGCATGCATCCGGGCTTCCCGTGGCGTTTGCAAGTGGGAATGGTGCTCCAGATGCTCCATGCATGGAGCAATGGATGCATCCGCGCTTCCCGTGGCGTTTGCAAGTGGGAATGGTGCTCCAGATGCTCCATGCATGGAGCAATGGATGCATCCGCGCTTCCCGTGGCGTTTGCAAGTGGGAATGGTGCTCCAGATGCTCCATGCATGGAGCAATGGATGCATCCGCGCTTCCCGTGGCGTTTGCAAGTGGGAATGGTGCTCCAGATGCTCCATGCATGGAGAGATGGATGCATCCACTTCTCCCGTTGCATTTGCAAGTGGGAATGGCAATCCAAGTGTTCCATGCATGGAGCAACAGATGCATCCCTGTTTCCCATTGCATTTGCAAGTGGGAATGGCACTCCAGGTGCTCCATGCATGGAGCAACAGATGCATCCGTGTTTCCTGTTGCATTTGCAAGTGGGAATGGTGCTCCAGGTGCTCCATGCACAGAGTGACGGATGCATCCGTGTTTCCCGTTGCTTTTGCAAGTGGGAATGGCACTCCAGGTGCTCCATGCACGGAGAGATAGATGCATCCGCTTCTCCTGTTGCGTTTGCAAGTGGGAATGGCAATCCAAGTGCTCCATGCATGGAGCAATGGATGCATCTGCATTTCCCATTGCATTTGCAAGTGGGAATGGTGCTCCAGATGCCCAAACTATTGCAGAGAGCAACTCCGTGCGCAGAGCAACACATACGTCCCTGTATCCTGCAGCGTTTGCAAAGCCCGTTAGCACCCTTGGACCATCAGGGCACCCAAAACGCCACCGTGAGCAGCTCCGCGCACGGAGCAACGGCTGCGGCTGCATTTCCCGCAGCGCTTGCAAAACCCTGGGAAACGCTGAGCGTCCAAAGCACCGCAAGCGACTCCGTGCACGGAGCTACGGATGCATCTGCATTCCTGGTGGTCTTTGCAAAATGCTTTGCAACACGCTTTGCAGAAAGCTTTGCAACACGCTTTGCAGGAAGCTTTGTAACACGCTTGCAAAACGCTTTGCAGAACGCTTTGCAGAACGCTTTGTAACACACTTGCAAAATGCTTTGCAGAATGCTTTGCAGAGCACTTTGCAGAGCGCTTGCAAAACGCTTTGCAGAACACTTGCAAAACACTTTGCAACACGCTTTGCAGAACGCTTTGCAGAACGCTTGCAGAACGCTTTGCAGAACGCTTTGCAACACGCTTTGCAACACGCTTTGCAGAACGCTTGCAGAACGCTTGCAGAACGCTTTGCAGAACGCTTTGCAGAACGCTTTGCAGAACGCTTTGCAGAACGCTTGCAACATGCTTGCAGAACGCTTTGCAGAACACCCATGCAAAATGCTTTGCAGAACGCTTTGCAACACGCTTTGCAGAACGCTTTGCAGAACGCTTGCAGAACGCTTTGCAGAACGCTTTGCAGAACGCTTTGCAGAACGCTTTGCAGAACGCTTGCAACACGCTTGCAGAACGCTTTGCAAAACATTTTGCAACACGCTTTGCAAAACGCTTGCAGAACGCTTTGCAGAACGCTTTGCAAACCACCCTTGCAAAAGACCCCTGCACCCTTGGGACCCCCGGCGCCGGCACCCACCGTCTTGTGGTGCAGCGTGACGTTGACGGGGTGCGCGAGGCGCGCGGGGCGCCCCACGGTGCAGCTCACCACGTGGGAGTTGAGGCGCGTGGGCGACGGGTCCCCCGCGTCGGTGCCCACGGCCAGGGCCGCCTCCAGGTGCCGGTGGGCGATGAAGGCGACGGCGGCGGCGCCTGCGGCGGTGCGACACGGCTGCTGGTGTTGGGGGGTGAGCAGGGAACAGGCGGACGGGGAACAGGCGACGGGCGCGGGACATACGTCGAGCGTGCAACACGCGTGGGACACGCGTGCAATGAGTGGCAAGCATGCAACAAGCACGCAACAAGCACATTGCAAGCACGCAATGAGTGGCAAGCATGCAACAAGCATGCAACAAGCAAAGTGCAAGCGTGTGAGAAGCATGCAACGAGTGGCGAGCATGCAACGAGCATGCAACAAGCATGCAACAAGCATGCGATAAGTTGCAAGCACGCAACAAGCACACGTCAAGCGCGTTGCAAGCATGCGACGAGCATGCAACGAGTGGCAAGCATGCAACAAGCGTGTGGAGTGGCAAGCATGCAACAAGCATAAAAACACAAGCACGCATGCGACACGCATGCGACACGCATGCGACACGCACAAGCAAACACAAGTACATTGCAAGCGTGTGACAAGCATGCAACAAGTATGCACCAAGCATGCAACGAGCACGCACCAAGCACATTGCAAACGTGTGAGAATCATGCAACAAGCATGCAACAAGCACACAATAAACACATTGCAAGCGTGTGACAAGCACGCACCAAGCACGTTGCAAGCATGTGACAAGCATGCAACAGGCACACAAGCACATTGCAAGCGTGACAAGCATGCAACAAGCTCACAAGCACACACCAAGCACATTGCAAGCATGTGACAAGCACGCACCAAGCACGTTGCAAGTGTGGGACATGCATGCAACGAGTGACAAGCATGCAACAAGCATGCAACAAGCACATTGCAAGTGTGCACCAAGCACATTGCAAGCATGCAACAAGCATGCACCAAGCATGCACCAAGCACATTGCAAGC